GCCGCATGTCGCTTGGACTGCCGGTACCCATCAGCTGCTTCCGGGGTCCCACAGGCCAAAAAGGCCTGATAGGACTCCTTCTTCAGCCTGACAGCATCCCTCACCGACGGTGTCTGCCATCGGGTTCGAGGGTTGCCACCGCGACAGGCACCGACAACCTTGCGGCCGCAGCTCTGGTAAGCCGCCTCGACAATAGAGGCACGAAACATGGTCCACTCAGACTCAATGTCCCCCACCTCCCTCGGAACATGTTCAAAGTTCTCCCGGAGGTGGGAGTTGAAACTCCGTCTCACAGGAGACTCTGCCAGACGTTCCCAGCAAACCCTCACAATACGTTTGGGTCTGCCAGGTCTGACCGGCATCCTCCCCCACCATCGGAGCCAACTCACCACCAGGTAGTGATCAGTTGACAGCTCCGCCCCTCTCTTCACACGAGTGTCCAAGACATGTGGCCGCAGATCAGATGAGACGATGACAAAGTCGATCATCGAACTGCGGCCTAGGGTGTCCTGGTGCCAAGAGCACATATGGACACCCTTATGCTTGAACAAGGTGTTCGTTATTGACAATCCATGACGAGCACAGAAGTCCAACAACAGAACACCACTCTGGTTCAGATCAGGGGGGCGTTCCTCCCAACCACACCCCTCCAGGTCTCACTGTCATTGCCCACATGAGCATTGAAGTCCCCCAGCAGAGCAAGGGAGTCCCCAGAAGGTGCACTTTCCAGTACCCCCTCCAAGGACTCCAGAAAGGGTGGATAATCTGAACTGTTGTTTGGTGCATAAGCACAAACGACAGTCAGAACCCGTCCCCCCACCCGTAGGCGGAGGGAGGCCACCCTCTCATTCACTGGGGTGAACCCCAATACACAGGCAACAAGTTGGGGGGCAATAAGTACACCCACGCCTGCTCGGCGCCTCTCACCAGGGGCAACTCCAGAGTGGAAGAGTGTCCAGCCCCTCTCAAGGAAACTGGTTCCAGAGCCCGAGCCATGCGTAGAGGTGAGTCCGACTATTTCTAGCCGGAACCTCTCAGCCTCACACACCAGCTCAGGCTCCTTCCCCACCAGTGAGGTGACATTCCACGTCCCAATAGCCAGCTTCTGTAGCCGAGGATCAGACTGCCAGTGTCCCCGCCCTCGGCCACCACCCATCCCACATTGCACCTGACCCCTTTGGCCCCTCCCACAGGTGGTGAGCCCATGGGAAGGGGGACCCACGTCTCCTCTTCGGGCTGTGCCCGGCCGAGCTCCATGGGTAAAAGCCCGGCCACCAGGCGCTCGCCCGCTTGCCCCACCTCCAGGCCTGGCTCCAGAGTGGGGCCCCGGTGAGCCACTTCCGGGCAAGGGAACACTAGGTCCATTTATTTGTGTCATCATCGGGGTCTTTGGGCTGCACTTTGTCTGGTCCCTCACCTAGGACCTGTCTGCCATGGGTGACCCTACTAGGGGCATAAAGCCCCTGACAGCATAGCTCCTAGGATCATTGGGACACTCAAACCCCTCCACCACGGTAAGGTGGCAGCCCAGGGAAGGGGGAGAATCAAAACGTTATGTAAAATTTGACCACATCATCAGTTTAACATTTTACTGTTTAATTCAGATGGCCTTATACATGCAGGTGCTGGTCATAAAATTAGAATATCATGAAAAAGTTGATTTATTTTAGTAATTCTATTCAAAAAGTGAAACCTGTATATTATGTTCTGTTTTATGAAATTATCTTAAACAAAGTACAGGTTCGGGGGATGATCGGAGCAATGAGTAAACACTCACAGGCTGTTTTTGCTAGAATAATAAGTGTCTTTATTAAACTGCCACAGATCAAAACAGCAAGCAAAGCCAGCAGTACATTCAGTACAAATCAAACATTGATGTAAAAGCCCCTCACCGTGACACCGACTGGGGAGCCGTTTCAGTCCGAGTAGAAAGGTAACGTCAATTTGCTGGGCATCGAATCAGGATCCACAGCAGACTCCAACTCTTATTCTGAGTGTTACACTTTAATACTCTCTGCATTACGTGGGAACATCTCCTAGTAAACAAAACATGCCCACCTGGACTTAGTCTGTGAGAACCCTCGAGATAGCTTGAGAACCTCGAGATAGCGTGCAGGAGGAGGCGGGCCAAGCCTCCTCAGGCCTCTCGGGTGACTCACAACAACATGCACCAAAAACTCTTTATATCACAGGTTAAATAGTCAGAAAAACGACATTTTATTAAACTCTCAACTAATGTTCATTCATTACACACAGACATTTCAAATGTTTATTTCTTTTAATATTGATGATTATAATTGACAACTAATGAAAACCCCAAGTTCAGTATCTCAGAAAATTAGAATACTGTGAAAAGGTTCATTATTGAAAACACCTGGTGCCACACTACTCAGATAATTAACTCAAAACACTTGCAAAGGCCTTTAAATGGCCTCTCAGTCTAGTTCTGTAGGTGCACAATCATGGGGAAGACTGCTGACTTGACAGTTGTCCAAAAGACGACCATGGGCACCTTGCACAAGGAGGGAAGACACACAAAAGGTCATTGCTAAAGAGGCTGGCTGTTCACAGAGCTCTGTGTCCAAGCACATTAATAGAGAGGCGAAGGGAAGGAAAAGATGTGGTAGAAAAAAAGTGTACAAGCAATAGGGATAACTGCACCCTGAAGAGGATTGTGAAACAATACCCATTCCAAAATGTGGGGAAGATTCAGTGCTTAAAGAACCACAACGCACAGACGTATGCAAGACATGGGTTTCAGCTGTCACATTCCTTGTGTTAAGCCACTCTTGAACAAGAGACAGCATCAGAAGCATCTCATCTGCGCTAAAGACAAAAAGGACTGGACTCCTGCTGAGTGGTCCAACGTTATGTTCTCTGGTGAAAGTACATTTTGCATTTCCTTTGGAAATCAAGGTCCCAGACTCTGGAGGAAGAGAGGAGAGGCACAGAATCCACGTTGCTTGAGGTCCAGTGTCAAGTTTCCCCAGTCAGTGATGGTTTGGGGTACCATGTCATCTGCTGGTGTTGGTCCACTGTGTTTTCTGAGGTCCAAGGTCAACGCAGCCATCTACCAGGAAGTTTTAGAGAACTTCATGCTTCCTGCTTCTGACCAACTTTATGGAGATGCAGATTTCATTTTCCAACAGGACTTGGCACCTGCACACTGTTCCAAAGCTACCAGTACCTGGTTTAAGGACCAAGGTATCCCTGTTCTTAGTTGGTCAGCAAACTCGCCTGACCTTAACCTCATAGAAAATCTATGGAGTATTGCGAAGAGGAAGATGAGATACACCATACCCAACAATTCAGAAGAGCTGAAGGTCACTATTAGAGCAACCTGGGCTCTCATAACACCTGAGCAGTACCACAGACTGATCCACTCCATGCCATGCTGCATTGCTGCAGTAATCCAGGCAAAAGGAGCCTCAACTAAGTATTCGATGCTGTACATGCTCATACTTTTCATGTTCATACTTTTCAGTTGGCCAACATTTCTAAATATCTTTTTTTTTTTTAATTGATCTTCAGTAATATTCTAATTTTCTGAGATTCTGAATTTGGGGTTTTCATTAGGTGTCAGTTATAATCATCAACATTAAAATAAATAAACATTTGAAATATGTCAGTTTGTGTGTAATGAATGAATATAATATGCAAGTTTCACTTTTTGAATGGAATTACTAAAATAAACTAATGATTTCATGATATTCTAATTTTATGACCAGCACTTGTTCGTTCATTCATTCAACCTTTATTTAAACAGATAAATCACATTGAGCCTCAAAGACTCCTTTACAAGTGAGACCTGTTTGGACAGACAAAAACACTGGACACATGTAGGAGTTGGAGGTGAAAAAAATTCCTATCAGACTTTTTTTTTTTTCCTGCCTGAGAAAAAACCCCCTCTAATAATAAAAAAAACACCTCGCACAAACAAGCACATATTTACGTAGACAATCTGCAGACGGGGGAGACGAAAGCGGTCAGCAATGTTCATACAGTGAGGAAAATAAGTATTTGAACACCCTGCGACTTTGCAAGTTCTCCCACTTAGAAATCATGGAGGGGTCTGAAGTTTTCATCTTAGGTGCATGTCCACTGTGAGAGACATAATCTAAAAGAAAAATTCGGAAATCACAATGTATGATTTTTAAATAATTTATTTGTGTGTTACTGCTGCAAATAAGTATTTGAACACCTGCCAATCAGCAACAGTTCTGGCCCTCAAAGACCTCTTAGTCCTCCTCTATAACGTCCACCTCCACTTCACTTATTCTTCTAAATTAGAAGCACCTGTTTGAGGTCGTTAGCTGCATAAAGACACCGGTCCACCCCACACAATCAGTAATACTCCAACTACTAACATGGCTAAGACCAAAGAGCTGTCCAAAGACACCAGAAACAAAATTGTAGACCTCCACAAGGCTGGAAAGGGCTAGGAGGCAATTGCCAAGCAGCTTGGTGAAAAAAGATCAACTGTTGGAGCAACTATTAGAAAATGGAAGAAGCTAAACATGACTGTCAATCTCCATCGGACTGGGGCTCCATGCAAGATCTCACCTGGTGGCGTATCGATGATCCTAAGAAAGGTGAGGAATCAGCCCAGAACTACACGAGAGGAGCTGGTCAATGACCTGAAGAGAGCTGGCACCACTGTTTCCATGGTTACTGTGGGTAATACACTAAGACGTCATAGTTTAAAATCATGCATGGCACGGAAGGTTCCCCTGGTTAAATCAGCACACGTCCAGACCCGTCTTAAGTTTGCCTATGACCATTTGGATGATCCAGAGGAGTCATGGGAGAAAGTTCTGTGGTCACATGAGACCAAAATAGAACTTTTTGGTCTTAATTCCACTCGCCGTGTTTGGAGGACGAAGAATGATGAATACCATCCCTACTGTGAAGCATGGGGGAGGATGCATCAGGCTTTGGGGGTGTTTTTCTGCACATGGGACAGGACAACTGCACTGTATTAAGGAGAGGATGACCGGGGCCATGTAGTGAGAGAATTGGGGAACAACCTCCTTCCCTCAGTTAGAGCATTGAAGATGGGTCGAGGCTGGGTCTTCCAACAAGACAATGACCCGAAGCACACAGCCAGGAGAACCAAGGAGTGGCTCCGTAAGAAGCATATCAAGGTTCTGGAGTGGCCTAGCCAGTCTCCAGACCTAAACCCTATAGAAAATCTTTGGATGGAGCTCAAACTCCATGTTTCTCAGTGACAGCCCAGAAACCTGGCTGATCTAGAGAAGATCTGTGTGGAGGAATGGGCCAAAATCTCTGCTGCAGTGTGAGCAAACCTGCTGAAACACTACAGGAAACCTTTGACCTCTGTAACTGCAAACAAAGGCTACTGTACCAAATATTAACATTAATTTTCACAGGTGTTCAAATACTTATTTGCAGCAGTAACACACAAATAAATTATTAAAAAATCATACATTGTGATTTCTGTTTTTTTTTTATTAGATTATGTCTCTCACAGTGGACATGCACCCGAGATGAAAGATTCAGACCCCTCCATGATTTCAAAGTGGGAGAACGTGCAAAGTCGCAGGGTGTTCAAATACTTATTTTCCTCACTGTATATGCTCTCGAGGTCACTGTAAGAGTTCTGATAGGATGTAATAATCAGTCAATGTCCTCCGGTGAGATCCATAAACATTCTCCAGGTATGTCGAGGAATGGCCAAGAATAACATCTATGAGAATCTGAGAGTCCTGAAATGATGGCACAAGTTTATTCAGCTGGTTTCATCTGGTTATCAGTCGGAAATTCTTCAGGGAGGGGGTGGTGAGTGTCAGATCACATGTTCTCCAGGTGGATTCACATAAGATGGCCTTCAAGGCCAGCCAAGGGAGTAAAATTCAGATAAACACACAGTTGTTTTCGGGACAGGCAGAACTTAATGACATCTACCTTGAGTCTATGTTGATCGACTCTGTTCCGAACTGTCCAAATTACATGGCCACACCAATGGAACGTGACTGAGTAAAATCCCCAAGATCTGATCCATTCAACATTAAAATAAATAAACATTTGAAATATATGTGTGTAATGAATGAATATAATATACAAGTTTCACTTTTTGAATGGAATTACTGAAATAAATCAATGATTTCATGATATTCTAATTTTATGACCAGCACTTGTATTTCTCCCAACATCTCTCTTCAGTTCCAAAGGTTTTTGCTCCTTAGAGCCCTCTTGATTAGATAAACTTGTGTTTTCCTCACCCAGCCTTTAGTTTGGGACACGAGACAAAAATGTTCAAGTTGACTGACCATCAGCTAATAAAAAGACTCAATTATGTGTGTCATTTAACACATGCCTAAATAACAAATAATCAATGAAATGTTCATGTTCCTGCAATATGTCCATCCATCCATCCATTATCTTTACTCGCTTATTCCATTTTGGGTCACGGGGGTCGCTGGTGCCCATGTCCAGCAGTCACTGTGCGAGGGGCGGGGTACACCCTGGACAGGTCGCAAGTCCATCACAGGGCTCCTGCAATATGTGTTAGGTTAAATTGACTGTTTTGGTGTTGAATCTACAGGTGTGCATCTTTAAACATTTTATAATGCTGATGTTTTTCTTTACCCGAAAGCCACTGACAGCAAAAACCAGTCTGAGATTCTGATTGACCTGGTGGGCCTCGATAGTCCCTCTACACCCGAGCACAAACCTCTGGCCTCTCTAGCTTTTCCAGGTGACCTGCTTTCTGAGTCGGCAGCCACCAACTCTCCGTCTAAGAGTGTTGGTGCACCCCCTGCAGGACTGTCACTGCTAGACGAGGAGCTGCTGTCTTTAGGTACCACACCTGTTATGTAACTAACTCCATTCCTGCATATTTAAGGATCCACATGTGAATATAAAATGTGTGTAATTTCACAGGCCTTAATGAACCTGGCTCTACAGTCAGTGACTCAACACAAAGAAATCAGAGCAATCATTCCTCATCTTTACAGGTAATCAAATTGTTACATATGCTGTAATTGCACGTTGAATATTCTTATTGGAAGTAATGTTTTTTTGTTACAACATATTTCAGGATTCCAGTCAAGATTTGGTTTTTTTTGACACCAGTTTGCCTACGATTCAAGCACTTTCACCTCCGCTCTTTCAAAATGTCCTCTCTACAATAAATGTCTCAGTTAGTCCCAACAAAAGCACTCCAGCTGTCTCGGCCTTGAGCTTCCCTGGACTTGTTTTCTCCACACCTCCAGTTTCTACAGCCTTTAACTCGGCTTCGCTCACGTTCCCACAGCCTCTCAGTTCAGCACTAAACCCCACAGCCTCAGCTGCTGCTCCTCAGTCACTCAGCTCCTCACCTGCTCTGTCAGCTGCACAGAAAAACATTTCCTTTCCCGGAATCTTCCAGTCTGCGTCGTCTTCCCTGAGCCACAATTTGCACGACCTCGCCATGCTGGATCTGGGCAGTAATGACAAGTAAGTGCTTCCATGGGAGGATCATACAGGCAATATTTAAAACAAATTTTGCAGTAAGGTTAGCTGGAGAGATTATGAACATTTAATGTCTTGCATTTTGCAGATCGCTTTTAGAAGAAAAAATCTCAGAAGAAATGAAATGTAATTCTGATCTGAGTGACGAGCTAATGGCTAGTCAGAACCTAGCCAAAAAGAAAAGTGCATTGGAGCAGCTGTTAATGCAAACTCTATTTTATATACCTTCTGAAAGGGTTTTTTCCTCATAACACCTTTGTAAAATAATTCACACAAGACAAGCGTAAGTTTTTTTTTTTTAAAGTACTCTGCAGAAGTGGGAGTTCTACTCAACCAAACGTCAAGAGAAGAAGTCCGACCTTCGCCTGTGACGCTCGCATTTTATTAGGTAGAGTGGGTGTGGCACAAATCAGCAGATTCAACTTCTCCGACGCAGCAGAGAGACAAAATATGATTAAACGGGAGACAGTTTGATACGGAGGCAGGATAACAAGGTCAGAACTAAACAGCCATCTGTTGTTTAAAAACCCAAGGTCTGTGGTCTTAGTACACACACATGAGCTGCATACAAAACTCTGGGTGTTTTGGTGTTTCAGCTGGGCTTCATTTCACACGGCTGGAGTTTTAGCAAATACAGAAACAGTTTTAAATGATAACAGTTTTAACTTACCTGACACCTTCACATCACTTTCCATGTTGCATGCACAGTTATCTACATGGAAAACTGTGATGTACTAAAATTAATATAGCAGCAGCAGCTAGTTATAAAACTTTTGAACAAAAAAGTGTGATAGATTTAACAGATAATCTGTAACGTTAAGCTTACGAAGATGTAGAAGTGTTGGAGTTGCCTCCAAATGACACATTCATTTTGGAAGTCAAGTTCAAGAATCTTTGCCCCAAGGAGCAATTTGTTTCAGTCAGTAGAAACATCCATACTAGACAAGACATTAAGACATTAAAACATTAAAGTAACAGAACAGAAATCATCATCGTTTGTTGATAAGCCTGATACAGGTATGAATAAGTTTTTCAGTTTGTTTGTTTGTTCTACATCTGGGCTGCAGATACCTGTGTCCAGATTGAAGCAACCTAAACTCACCATGGAGTGGATGATAGGATCTGCCAGAATCAGCCTGGCCTTGTTCACTAACCTCGCCTTGTGTAGGTCAGTGAGGTTCTGTAGGGCTATGGCAGCAGTTTTACTGCACATGACAATCCCTGAGAGTTTGTTCCTGTTTTTGCACGTCAAAAGTCCAAAACTACAGATGAAGGTAAAAGTTAAGAGACTCAGTAAAACATGAATAAAACATTCTCATAAAAGTAGAATCAACATTAAAACCACAGAGCTTCAGATAAAAATATATTCTCTGGTGGGCCTTCTTACAAAGTGAGTTCACATGGGGGTCAAAGGTCAGTTTGTTTTCAAGAACAGTTCCCAGATATTTATATTTATGCACCACCTCAACAGCTTCACCGTTAATGACCACAGGAGCAGCTACTGAAGATCCATCCATCCATCCATTATCTTTACCCGCTTATTCCATTTTGGGTCACGGGGGTCGCTGGTGCCCATGTCCAGCAATCACTGTGCGAGGGGCGGGGTACACCCTGGACAGGTCGCAAGTCCATCACAGGGCCACATAGAGACAAACGAGACAAACAACCATTCACTCTCTCACTCACACCTAGGGACAATTTAGAGTTACCAATCAGCCTAACATGCATGTTTTTGGTCTGTGGGAGGAAACCGGAGTACCCGGAGAAAACCCACGCATGCACAGAGAGAACATGCAAACTCCACCCAGAGGGCCCCTGGACCGGGGTTTGAACCAAGGACCTGCTCACTGAGAGGCAGCAGCTCTACCAGTTGCGCCACCGTGCTGCCCGCTTCTGAAGATACTTTTCTAAAATCAATGACCATCTTCTTTGTCTTAGAAACATTTAACTTTATTAGCTTACCAATACTTTCAGAGCACAGATGATTGTGTTGTCTTCAGTCAACTTCTATTTTCATAATAGTTCTTACTAAGACTAATATCTAAACTTTTTCACTGCCGGCAGTTCATTTTGCGGAAGTACAGGCACTGTAACGGTTCTTTACATTTTCTCTGTTACCTTATTTATATTAAACTGGGCCTGAAACTCTTCATTTAATATCCTTGTGCATGCTTAATAATTAATTAATTAATACTTCTGCTACAAACATTCCACCCTGACACACTTTGATGTGTGCAATTCTGCTGCTTGAATAAGGAGGCGTGAAAATGATGGTCACAACAAGATCACAGTTGCTAAAGATGAGAGCAATGCTGGAGCTTTACATTTGTAAAGAGTAATTCAACAGATCTAAGTAGAAATGTGTTTATTGAATGTTTTAAGCCTTGGTGTCCTCAGGCTGTTTCTGTGAGTAGCAAGTCAGCCATCTGGCCTAAAACATTTGATTGTTGTACATGATGATGACTGATTGTTTTGGATGGATGGTCCGTGTTTGCATGTGTTAAAAGCCTGTCTCTGGGTATTCAACAGGAGGTTGGCTTTAAACGCATCAAGGAGGTGCTATTTATGGGACATCTGGTTGGCAGGCCACAGACTGACTGATATGTTTTTAGTATGATAGACCTGTCACGATAACAAATTTTGCTGGGCGATTAAGTGTCTCAGAAATTATTGCAATAAACCCAAAAAAGTTCAATCTGGTCCTCTGGACATTCAAAAAACAAAAACAAAAAGCAAAATAAAGCAAAAAAAAATGTACAGGTCCTTCTCAAAAAATTAGCATATTGTGATAAAGGTCATTATTTTCCATAATGTAATGTAATCACGGGGAGGCGGAGTGTGCATTTACGTGAGTAAAAGTTGGTCCACGAACTGTACTGTTGTAAATAGCTCATGCTCGAAGGCTTTGGAGCAAATAACAGTGAAATGTCGGCCACATTATCTACCCCGAGAGTTCACAGTGACTTTTATCACAATCGTTTACATTCCTCCGGACGCTAATGCTAATGAATCACTACAGGAGCTACATGATATCATCAGCTCGCTGCAGAACAAACACCCCGAGGCTCTTTACATTGTAGCCGAAGACTTTAACCACGTGAATCTAAAGGACTGTCTCCCAAGCTTTAATCAGCATGTGGCAATTCCGACACGTGGAGACCGCACGCTGGACCGTGTTTACACGAACGTAAAAGATGCATACAAAGCCGAACCCCGCCCCCACCTAGGACTGTCAGACCACATCTCAATCTTCCTGGCTCCTGCTTACATGCCCCCGCTGAGACGCTCCAGACCGGTACAAAAGGAAGTTAAATGTTGGATCCAGGACAGTGGCCCCATATTAGCCCCTTATCCACGGGTCTTTTTGGTACTCCTCTGTAACTAGTTGTGGCCGATTGCAGGATTTATCAACAATGCCTTTAACGGTGGAACCCACCCCATTTTTGGGACCTAAATCACTGAGGTCCCAGGTCTGGTTCTTTTAGGGTCTAGTTGTGACATCAGCGCACTGTAGGTCACTGATTGGTCAGGGGGCGTATTCATTGGTGGAGGGCGGAGATTCAGTCTTCCACCGGAAATCACAATCCACCATTTTCTTTTTCACCCGCATAACAGACAACAAGAAATCGGAGGAGCTTATTTTGGAATATTTTATAAGGTAAAACAAATAATCATGGCACAACCGTGGTCGAATGCTGAAGCTCAGGCATTTCTCTGTTTGCTGGCCGATGAACAAGTGCAGCGCGAGCTAGATGGAACGAAACGAAATGAAAAGATTTTTCAAGAGGTGTCTGCGCAGATGGCGGTGCACGGCTTCCATCGCACACCAAAGCAAAGAGGAAAGCTTAAAAAACTAATAGCTGATGGTGAGTGTATTTTATTTACTTTAAGCATATTTCCTTTCCCTCATGCAACCGTTTCTTTGCGTTTTCTGAAAGTACTCTGAACAAACGAGGCTGACGCGGTTACGTCGTCATTAGTTAGCATCATTGCTAACTGTACTCTGTTGCTGTTTTTCCACTCTTATTTTGATGCAGAAAGTCCCACTGAACATGAAGGTTCGCCAGATTCTGCTTTTGACTGTCCAATCCTCCCCGCTTCTGACCCTTCCCGACCACGCCAGCTCCGAGTACATCCATGCCACCGAGTACATCCATGCCACCGGGCACATGCACGCCACCGGGCAACACGCAGCAGAGCGGCACTGAACAGCACCCGTTACTAGGTAAGAAGAAGCAACAATCGTGTTTAACATGACATTGATCGTGTTGATATGAATGTTGTTTTGTTTTTGTTGTAAAACACCTTGCATGTATTCAAACTACTTGTTTATTCAGTTGTAATGTATAAATGTTAAATTTAATTATTCATTTATTACTTAAACTTTCATTTATGAAGTTTATTATTGAAATTATACAGGGTGTAGTGATTTTTGTTCAGATTAACGATGCTCTGTTCTTTTTCTAAATTAGCACAAACCGTTGTAAATGACTACATGTAGTTTATTTATGCCCACCTGCTTACTATCATTAAAGTACTAGACTGCTTTATGAACAGAATCATTTCTGATCTTGTGAACAAACACCTTTTGAAATTAGCAATTAGCAGGAACTTTAATGTTAATAATTTATTAAAAAACTCTACCTGTACTTCATCATCTAACAGCCATTTTCTTGTGTGTTATTCCTAGGCCATAGAAAGCGCAAATCAACAAGTGCAGCAGAGAGCTTTGTTTCTGCACATACTGAACAAGAAGAGATGAACCGGAAGCAGAGAGAGGAACACTTCCATTTTATTTGTGAGGATGCCAAAAATGCAAGGCAAGAAGAAGCTGCGGAGAGGCAACGCCAAGCTGCAGTAACGAGGAAGCAGGAGAAGGCCATTAGGAGGGAGGAGATGGCCTTGAGGAGAGAGGAAGCAGATGTTCGCAGAGAGGAAGTAGCACAGCGAAGGCAGGAGGCTGAACAGAGTGCTGCTTTCAGTCAGGCA